TTAAAAGGCTCGTAAAGTCGACGGTTGACTGTTAACGAGCCTGATTAGAGCCTCCACGAAGGTCACTACAAGCTGTCGAGGGAGGCGTCACATGGCTGAAACAACTGAAACTATTTACATTATACTGTACAGAAAATAATATATATTTGAACATATACGAGTACTAAATAAAATGAGGTATATAAAATAAATTTTATTAATTGAAGATGGTGTGTGATGTAGAATTGTATGCAGTGGAAATGGCAATTTGGATATTTGAAATATATGTGGAATGATGGGAATAGATAGATTAACGAATGTGTAGGTAACAGTAGCTATGAGAGAGTTCGAAAAAGACACCAGTAACGGAAAAACTGAAGGTAACGGTGAAAGGAAACTGTCTTGCTTGGTTTGTTATTATAAGAAGTGAAATGAATGTTAATAAGAGGGTGACGAAGGTGAAAAATTTCACCAGAGAGCAGATGAAAATATTTTTTGTGAAGAACGATATGAAAGAAAAGGGTATGAACGATGACTTGACAGATAAGAAAGTGAAAGTAGTGAAGAGAAGACACTTTGCCGACTCTATACTTATTGGGACCAGAGTAGGATGATGAAACGTCCGTGTCATTTCGTGAAAGTCGTAAAATTGTTCTGAGTAATATTGGGTTGTCGGAAACAAGTCTGCTATCTGTAGTTACATGTGATTATTAATGATATGAAGACCGATGAACCAAAACGATAGTCAATACTTGTGTAATAGTTTGACCTTCTGTCCTATGTTTATTTCTTTGTTAAGTCTATACTCCTATATAACGTACTTAGACCTTTAAATGTTTACCAGACGGTATGCGGTCAAATTGAAATTACGCAGTTTTATTTTGAAATAAATTGACGGGTCCAATGGCGTAGTAGGTGGTGTTCTTACTATTGCGCTGAGAGTCGTGGGTTCGATCCCCACCCAGGACAAACATTTTTGTGATTAACAATTATATTTATATTATGTATATATTTGTATTCCCGCCGTTGTCTCTGATATCCGTAACAAAAGTGCCTAAGCTACTTACCTTGGAATCAGATCAATGTGTGTGATGTTGTTCGATAAATCATTTATTTATATTAATAAATTGATTTCTTTAGTGGTTAGTCGTTATATTATTTTCATGTAAAAGTTTATAAACATTTTTTACTATTGTATATTTATAGTTTTTTATATGAAAAAAAGGTTGAATATAAACTTAGCAAAGCAAATTAAAAAAAATAGCATTGAAACCAAACTATTTACACAAATAGTGTTGCAAAACTGGAGTGCAAACCACAATGTGGAATGTTTCACTGCTGCCCACCTCACACTTGCCGTACGAACATGAAATAGGAATAATTATTGGTTTCTGAACGGTGGCTGTTACCATCAATAAACGTTTTTAGTGCTCGTTTTAAATGCGTACTCGATGACTTTACGTTGCCAACATTCCGATTATATACTTTTAATAATATCAGTATATTTTGTTGGAGACTTTTTGGCTTGAAACATACTTAGGTTTTCTTCGACTTCTTCATTTGAAACAGCAATATTCAATACTAAAAAATCCGACTTATGTTGGGTTATCGAAAATTTTTATTATAATCGAAATAGATTCACAGGGAAATAGCAAAAACCATTTAAACATTTTCAAGTGTTCTTTGCAAAATTCTTTTCATCTGCTATAAATCTTATTTGGATTATTAGGGATTTAAAAAATTGGCTTTTTTTCCGGTCCAGCCGTTCTCAGGTGATTTTACGTAAAATATAGAATCTTATCTTTTCGTATTCAGTAATATTAATCAGAGAAAACCAAGACAATATAAAGTTCAATGCTAGGCCTGGAATCAAACCTGAAGAGCCAATCAACCACGGAGGTAAATAGTGGACTTAAAATGATTTGCAAGGGTTTATAATATAACCTGTTGATAAGCACACTCCTCAACAATTTCATAATTCAGTTCCAAGCTTAACCCCATTTCTGTTGGATATGCCGACAAACGTGTCAGTCGGTAATCTCTGAGCTGGCCGACCTCCAGTTCAATACTCGGCGAGGTAGATGAAAACAGGTAGTATCTGGTTTTATTCGAGTAGGGAGAAGCGACTGTTTTGCTTATATCCAAGCTCGCCTTTCGCTTGCATCGTTTCGACTTTCATTTGAGATCTGTATATTTCTTTTTATTATTTATTCAAATTTATCGACCAGTAAAGAAAATAGTACAAAAGACGGACTTAATATTAGTGGCATTTTCTCCCAGTCAACCTTTAGGAAGAACGATAAATTCTGTGGCGGCATAAATATATATAAATATAAATACATACGTACGATAACACAAATATAGATACATAATATTAAATGTGTTATGTGCTTTTCTTTTTCTTGTCACAATATTTGTAATACACTGCCATATGAGAAGAAGAAACATTTATTGATCTCACAAAGGCTCAAACAAGATAGGAACACATAAGGCACGAGTAAGACATAAAAAAAACAGAAAAAGAAACAATAGGGTATTTAATGATATATAAAAGAAAGAAAATAAAATCAACCAGGACTCTGCCTCAGCTGGTGTTGACGCGACACGGAAAGTGCCACATCAACTCTGACATTCTGGCAGAGCCTGTAAACAGGAAAGTGTGTTTGGTTGTGCTTCCTTCACGTTTAAAAAGCTTAATGGATTTTGTTAACATTTAGTTTGCTAAAAGTGTATATCAGACTAGAAAAATAATACCTTTTACCCGTCAAGGCAATAGTTCTTATTGATTTCCTTTATACATAATTAAATCACTTAGAAAAGTATCAGTACATATGTAGATATCATATTATAATTTAAGTATATCTGTGTCATACAAGAAAGATATTGCTGCTACACCTGGGGTGAAGTTTCTACTTTAACATCTTCAAAAGTTGTTTTAAGTTTTCATAGTCATTTACATTAGACCGATAGCGGATGCAAAATCAGGAACTTAATAAAAATAAGGAAAACGGTAGCAAGTCCCATAAAAACCTATCATTCAGATCAATCATTTTGACGATAAAAATTTTCATGCCCATAATCATTACCATGAAGTGCGACGGTAATGATTAATAGCGCCGACAATAGCACAGCTATTAACGGAATCACTTTGTGCGTTTGTCACAGCTTTAATTAAGCTACGGTGGTGACTGGGTATAGCAACTTGATATCTTCTACCCAATTAGCATCTGTACTCGTATTCAACAGAAGCGCTTATAATTTGGTGATGATAACAGTAGTATAATATTCGAATATAGACCTAGATCTAAATATTACGATAAATTTTATATCGAATAGTCATTGCTTTGTCATTCACATCTATTATTATAAACTAGCTGTTACTTTTGCTCGCACGATCGAAGAGAAATAACTCTCTTCAGCCTCCAAATTATTTTCACACAAATAGGTATATTAAATATCGCAAAAGAAGGAAAACAAACAAACGCATTTATATTTCTAATAGTTATTAAGAGTTCATACGTACAATTATTTAGAATGCTAATGTCTTGTACAGTTTAATTCAAGTGGTCAGTTTACAATTTACAATTTTTGTTCATAACTTCTAAACTTATGATTTGACGTATAAAATATTGTGAGAAGCATATTTATCTATTACTAATTAAAATAGTATAACTTCCAGAGGACCATTTGAATGATATATTAAACGTACTCCTCACGATGCTTTTTGATTTTTTGAGTCAGAGCTCGATTATTTTTTATAGTAATTTTGTTCAGACAAGACTTTGATGTAAATGAAACACATCTATAGAATATCTATTACAATAATTTTCACAAATAAATAACGTTACTATATTTTCATCTAGCTTTTATGATCACTTTCCTACAATAGCTACAGGCTGAATGTAAAAATGTATTATTTTTATTTACCCCGGCTAACGGTTTCGAGTTATAAATTATGTACGATTCCAAATGCGTTGGCAGGTCCAAATGGTCCGTGGAACGTCGCACTGTCATACCCTAACCGAATTCCGTGTGAAATGTTGGATGTAAAAATCTTAGTATACGAAATTCGCCCTGGCCTTTGTATAACAAAATCTTTGCTTATGAGAAATACTAAATAAATTTAAATTGATTAATTCGATGGCGAATAAGTGAGATTTGATAAATCGTTTGAAGTATGATTAATGTCAATTTTTTTTGTAAATTGCGTTATATAATTGGAATATTTATTGGCCAATAACACGGTGTCATTGTTATTATTTGATCATTTATCATTAGTTTTCTTTTTTAAACGAGAAAATGTAAATAAATGGATAATAAAAACATCATACATCATACAATATTTAGTGCAGCTGGGACTGGTGAATTTTTTAAGCGTATTTCTTTATCATAAATATCATTGTTCATAATCAGAGATCGTAAGTAATGTTGTGTTGGAAATCTGAATAAACGATGGTAACAATATCCAGATCCAAGACAATGAAGACTCGTGAATTTTCTTTAATTATATAGTTTGTATTGTTTGTGATACAGTTTATATTATTTATATATAGTGGCAGATTTTAGGTGTGTAGTATGGTACAAACAACCCATTTGAGTAATATGTTTAAAGATAGTATTATTTCTAAGTATACTTAATGTGATAATTATTTGAGTATACTGTGTAGAATTATCTTATAGAATTGAGTAATTTAACATTAAATCACCTGATGAAATTAAATATATTATGGATTTGAATCCTTATCATTTTATAAAAATTATTCGAATACTATTAATTTTAATTAATATTACTCTTAAAATATTATTTCAAATACAGTTTGAGCACCTAAAGAGTTACATGAATGAGTATCACACCTCTATTCATTAGATATTTTGTGTTATAAAATCAAGATTTAATGGAACAACTCGTGTGAATAAAATTTGCTAAACATTCGGGGTTTTACTCCAAACATGAGTCGTTTTATTATGAAATTAGGAAGTGTCACGAAATATTACTAACATGCGTTTCATTTGATTCCCAGTCTGTGTATTCGGTTGTGATTATTTTTCCTATAAATATTGCACATGTCATGAAGCTGTTTATTAAATTATATTAAATTTAACTTAGTAAAATTAGGGTTAAAATTTTGATATACTGGCTATTTGCTTAGTGATTTTTTATAAAATAATAGTAACAAGTGGAAAAGTGTAAGGATTTTGATGTTTTTATAAAGTTAACGAAATGTCTCAAGCATCACAAGGATTTGTTCCTGATAAAGTACAGGAGTTCAATCGTAGAGCTTCTCAAGATTTATCTGAAGCGTCTGGTGCTCAAAAGCCTCAGAGATCTTCACAAGAAGGCACTCCTAAAAAAGAATCAACTCAAAATGGCACAGAAAAACAAGCCCAGCATATTGGCAATGAAAAGGCTGCAAAGCCCGATGAGAAACAGAAGCAAGAAAGTTACGCTCTTCGTCAGGGTCATTCTCAAGATAACAAGAACCCATTTTCTCCTCATATGTATCGTAATAGTCGTCCACACGGCCATTTTGAGATGGGACCTCGAGGTTTAGATTATTCCCCACACCGTATGGGCATAGAATTCTCGAATAGACTCCGAGATTATGGCCCTCAGCGTTCCACTTCTATACATGGCCATGAATTGACTGATGTTCCAATGAAGCCAGAGTATTTGGGACATAGGAGTCATTTCGGAAGTCAGATTGGACCAGGAGGAATTACTGGACATCCTGATGTTGTCTTTAGACATGACTATTATAACCAGATGGGCTTCTCGCCTCCTAGAGCGTCCAGGTTTTCTTCACAAGAGTACCTGAATGCTCCCGGCCAGTACGGTAGATGGCCTGATTACAGAGCGGAATACAGGCAGCGTCGTCGCTCACAGCAGGATCTTCATTCCATGGATCCAGGACCCGAATCAGGTAAATTTTACCATTTTTCTAGTTTAATTTTTTGTTAAGCAAAAGATTAAAAGCAAATTTCAGGTAAATATCACAGAAAACGAATTAATATTTTCATATATTCGGTACAAAATCTAGCTGATTTAGTACGTTCATTTTTTCTCATATATGACCTTTTTTATATCTTTTCTAAATTGCGTATCACGAAAGGTATATGACAGTCTTCATATAAATAAATAAGAATAAATCCAAAACATTAAAATATACACAAGTTATGGAAAAAAAAATCACGTATTTATATCTCTACAATGATACAGGAAAATAAATATGAATACTACAAATTTCGTCTATTCCGATCGAGCGGTCGATCTACGGGGGAATAGTCGGATTTCTGGTGGCAGATAAACCTCGAGGAGGCTCGCATGATGGATCGTTTCCTTCCCGGTCGAACCCCCTTTAAAAACGCCTTTGCTGTCAAATACTTCTGCACATTAATGTGCGACACTATAACGTAACATGGAAATCAAGTCGTATTATAGACATTTTCGCTGTTGGTAATCCTACCTATTCGCTTGCGAAAGCGTAACATCTGCGAAAACATTGCGAATGCGTAACGTATGTGTAAAGACGTGTAACAATGATGTAACAATTTTGTCAGACTAATAATAGAGCGAGTCAAAGCACATACGAAACATTGCAATACAACTGACTGTATGCTAACGGCGACAATGTTAAAAGTGAGTAAATCCTTTAAGGAACCCCTAATTTGTCATAAAATGAACCCTCCATTATAAAGTCTGACCCATGTAAATATTTGTAGAACATATTCGTATCTTTACGGTAGAGATTTATGTTTAAATGATGAATAATGACGTTATGTTAATGGCGTTTGATATACATCTAGTTAATTAATCCTGTCCTATATTTGGTATTTTACATTTACTCTAGGAGTTTTATTTCTTAATCGGATTAAAGGAACTTCGCCGTCAATCTAAATGTCATGAATATTAATGCAAGGCTAAAGAAATCGTTTCCGTAAGATGTTCTTGTCAATATTAATCTAAATAATCCCTAGTGGATTAGGAGCAAAGTAGAATATTTCCTTTAACTCCATTGAATCGTTTGATATATTTGTTAATAAACTATATGTTATTTACAAATATATCAAAGTATATATAGAGTATTTGATCAACTTTAAGATAAACATAATGTTGTTTGATCATATTTCCACGAGGTTACTCCCGCGTGTAATTAAATGATTTAATATTTATTTTCTTGAATAAGTAAGTCGGTTTTGAGATAGGTATTATTTTACGCTTTTTTAAGAACCGACTTTAAAGTCGGTTCTATTTTTTTTAAAGTTCTTTATTTCATGCTTTTTAGTGATATTGATATTTGTATATAATAGGTTACACTAAAAATACTATTCTGAGAACCGCGTCAAAACTGTGTTAAAGTGCGAACCTCAATTTTTTAGTCTGTTAATATACCTAAAACCTTCTCCTAATTTTGACAAATAATATGCTGAAAATTGAAATGAGACCACACCAGAAGAACCAAATTCCAAATAAAAAAAAAGAATCAATAGGATATGTTCACCCTGTCAAAAATCATGCATCATCATCATCAGCCGGAAGACGTCTACTGCTGAACATAGGCCCTCCCCCTTTGAACATACATACATACTTAATAAAATTAATTACTTAATAAATCATGCATACTTAATGCAAATTTAAGACTTATACGGTTTTCTCATAGATGCTATTGCCAGATCTGGACCAAATTGAAATGAGACCACACGGCAAGTACTAGCTATCAAATAAAGAAAGCATCAAAATCGGTCCATTCGGTAAAAAGTTATGAGGTAACAAACAAAAAAATACAGTCGAATTAAGAACCTCCTCCTTTTTTGAAGTCGGTTAAAAAGAAATATTTAAAATCATTATTGATCCCTTTGAAAGACATTATCCATAGCGGCTTTGCCATTAAGGAGTGAGCACAGAAGTTACCTTGTGACTATTGCTCTTAAAACTTGGATGCTTCGAAACGTTTTCATGGATATTTGCATAATTGTCTTTCTCGAACAGTTCAACTGAATGTTCGACGTCAAAAAGTGTTCCTAGACTACTTCCACATGATTTAGAGATCCCATGTTTAGATGACAGTTCTTTGTAATGTAACTTTGGTGTTTCTATCCCTTGAGGTTGACCTTATTATTATAACTTGCGGAGTGGATTATTTAACACGCCTCTTTTACTTTTATTTATTCTATAAATTGCTTGGAAGTTTATATAAACGAAACATCTAAATTGTTCTTTAAATCTACAGTTTTCGTAGTAAGTTTTCTAAATGTAACGAATCAGTTCCTAAAACCAATACCGACATCGTCAATAACGAGAAAAGCGAATACATCAGTATATTGAAGAAACATGTTCTCGCTGTGACGAGCCTCTGTTAGGGGGTAACGTCAAACTTATGTCACTCATAGGGTGTTCCTCCCACTGGAGCAGGAGGAAATGTGTAACACTATTGAAGGGAATTTTCTAGACCGTTCGTTATACTTCGAAAACAAAAAGTTTTGCAGTTTGTAAGTTTTATAGAGGTATGGTACGATTGATATCTTTGTTTTAGTTGTCTTATATATAAGACAAAAACAATGAGTGACATACAAATACCTACCAGTAGTTCATTCTCTGGTAATTTTATTTAATTTGGACTTTTGTTTTTTTAATTTCCATGGTCACTTATATTAGTGCTTAATGCGTCAATGATTATTATTGACAGGGCTTCTACCATGTCAACATTGGCAATCCCGATAAAAATAAATTGCTCATTATAGCTGAAATTTTCTGTATCACCAAAGTCGTAGATTATACTCGGTAACAGCACAATGGACGTCCAGCTATTTTTTGTATTTAAGCTTAATATAATGTTTCAGGAAGTAATTTATATTAAGTTTTTAAGTATATTTCGACGACTTTATATTTCGACTAAAAATAAAATATGAGGTTAGAAAAATGGATTTAACAGAAATATGTGATTTTAATCTACAACTGAAATATATTATAAAGATAGATATTATGTAGGTATAGAAGAACGGCTCTCGAAAAGTTAGCAAGTCGTTAGCAACTGTTATAACTCAAATTCTGGAGAATACTAATCAATTCCCGGCCCCAGCAGATAGCCGAGCGTCGCCAAATTAATTTACATAATTCATATCATTATTAACGTGATTTATATGCTTGAAGCGAGAGACATTGCTACTACTATTATATTTATTCAATTCTTGTGAATCTTAATGTTTAGTTTCATTATAGAAAATTCTATTGATGCTGAGATATTGTTGGCTCGTTTTTTTACAGTTATTAATGTCCTCTTTTTTATTTGTAAATCTTTGTTTAACTCTATCATTTGTAAGTTTGGAATAGATTCCTGATATTTTAATTTATTTCTTTTTAAATCGATCGTAGAACTGCCAAATAATTTTACTATTATTTTTTGTAGTGATTGACTATTATTTTTGCTTTTTAATTTTCTGTATGTGTGTATATTTGTCCTTTAAAAATTGATTGATCTTACGAAAGTTTTTTTTCTATTTCTTAAGTCAGATGAACATAATTCATTAGTTTATGAGATATTCTCATTTTAGTGTAGGTATGTAATTGTCGCTTTAGCCACTACCGAATTATTACGACACAAGCAAGTTAGGATCCAGATGCCTCCTGGATATAATTTATTAGTTTTAAATGATTCTTGTATGATTTGTCATTAATTATATTAGGTCGCGGGGACCTAAATACTTCAGAAAGAATAATAAATACGATTCCGATACAATGACGATACTGTAATAAGGATGCGTGATTTTTTGCTGGATAAATATACTTAATAATGATTTGGATGTTTGTAATTTCTAATTTATATAACATATCTAGTTGCCACAGATCCTGCGGAAGTAGATTGCTTTATTCTGCGCCAAGAAGCCTCGTTAATTCTATTTTGTCATTACGTCGGTAATGATATAAAATTATGTTATTAATCACAATAATAATAATAATTTAATTTATTGCACACAACAGAACAAAGAAAAAACAAAAACAAGTTACAGAGGATCACAAAAAATATACAAAAGGAATATAAACAAAAAATAAACAATCTCTTCCAGGCAACCTATTGAGGAAAAAAATAAAAAGGCTAAAGATTATATGGGGTATTGGGTGCAACGATAGGAAGGATACAATATATATCATAATGAAAACTTTATATAAGTAGATAAAATTAAGACAAGGAAAGGAAATGGCTCTTAACTCTATCGCCAAAAGAAAGTTCTTTCACTAAGTAGTGAGCGAGATTTCCTGACATCCTCCGGAAGGTAGTTCCATAACCGCACATCATACACAGAACAGTAATAAGAGAAAAAGTCAGTAGAATGACAAGGAATGGCTAAGGCGAAATTAGAAGAGGATCGCAGGGTACATTGAAATGAAGAAGAACAGAAAGCGAACCACTATTCGAGATAAGATGGAGAAGAGAAATGCGACACATGGTAAAATTGACGGAGATTGAAAATGAATCTGATGCAAACATTTTGAAGACCAAGTTTCCAAGTGAGACCTTGATCAAAGATAACTCCAAACTTCTTTACAGTTTTAGAATAAGGGACTACAGCACCATTATAGGTTATTGTCGGCAGTTACTCAAAATTGAATCTAGATATGAAATGAGAACTGCCAATTAAAATAACTTGAGTTTTAGAATGGTTAACGGTAAGACCATATGAATTACTCCAATCGCTTATAAGAGTCAGGTCTGTCTGAGTCAGGTGTGTCTTTGGCTGATGAGAAAAAGGTTTCTTGTACCCTTTTAATAGTGTTTTGCACAAATTATGCTTAAATTGTCGTTCATTGTAATTTGCTTATTTGTTCTCGTCATCATGCGCGGTGATCACTTTTCTTATCATTATTCTTATATTCTTTGTCATTAGCGTTTGCCACCTTAAAAACATCCACTAGTGAGAATGTGTT